CTATTCTATTCTATTCTATTCTATTCTATTCTATTCTATTCTAATTAGAATGAAAAAAAATTGTTCTCTGCCCCTTTCCATGCTTGAGCAACGGGTTGGACCAGAAGAACTCCAAGGTCCCTTCCAACTGTTATTCTATTTTATATGAGGCAGTAAATTAGTAAACACCATAGTGCCCAAAAGTATCATGGTGTTCTTGAATATCCATTTTGATTCTTAACAAATCCCTTTCCCATTTAACTTTTTAAAGCTTTCTTTTAACTAAAAATAGATAACTAAGAAGCTGGCAGAAAAAAAGAGGAACTATAAATCAGAAAATAGTGAACTGATATTGCATAATGTCTTGCCTAAGTAGAGAAAGGGGGTATTTCTGTCTGAGGGTCTTTGTACCTGATGAACTATATTCAAATGAAGGACACCCCTTAATGTTCCTTTAACAGCAGGAGAGAGTCTAGATCTAGAACATTAACTGTCTTACACAAGGTGCCCTCCTTAATCTGTCTACTCCAGTATTCTGATTGACAGCAAAGGTCTTTTTCACACTTTCTGTTTCAAGCAGTCTTCAAATAAATGCTTTCAAGATAGTTTGCAGGACAACTCTCACTCCTTTTGCTACCGAGGAAGCCAGGGAACTGAAGTCCAAAAATCCCAAGGACAGCAGCCCCAAAGTTTCAACTCTGCCTGACACTGAAGTTGGAAGAGATCTCCTGCAGGTAGATAGACCAAATTATGGGTTCTACCGACAAAGTGAGATGGACACACAGGCAGTCTTGCCTGTGGACAAGGATCAGCGCCAGCTCCATCAAAAGTGGCTGGGGGAAAAAAAGAGAGATGGATGGATGCAACGGTGGTGGTACGGTGGGAGGAGGAGATCTGGCCCGCGCCCGCCCTCCGCTCACCTGGCACAGGAGGCTCTGCAGGTGGCTGGCGCAAGCGGTGTAGGTGGCCTGGCCAAAATGCTCGCTGATGCGATAGTAACGTTCCAACAGGGCAGCATCCCGCCCCGCGTCGCAGCAGCCGAAGTTTGAGTATTGCACGCAGAAAGTGAGCGGGCGAGGAGGCTTGAAAGGCGGTTTGAAATCCAGGCACTGTGGGTGGCTCGATGCCAGCTCTGTGAACAGGGCCAGCAAGGCTACCAGAGCCCAGGATCGGCGGCCAGGGCCCCTCGTCATGCTTCCTCGGGTAGATGCAGTCCAGCGGTGCAGCTGCGAGGAAGAACGAGGGAGCGGGACTTCCCAGGCGCCGTCCTGAGCATGATTCTCTCCAGCTCAGGCTTCGGCCCGCCGCCTTCAGAAGGCGCCCCGTTCCCCTCGGCAGATCCCGTCGGGCCTTTTATATCCCGCAGCCTGTTTAGAGATGGTTTTATGGGCGCTGGAATGGAAGCGCCTTTTCGGAAACGGCGGGTGGGGCCCTTCGCGAAAAGAAGGGAGACACATACAGAGAGAGAAAGACGCGCTCAATGAAGTCAAGCGAGAGCCCCGCAGATTCTCCACCGGGTTGCGATTTTCCTCACGGCCTTTCCAGTGAAGTGGTGACTTTCTCCCAGCGGACAAGCGAAGCTTAGATTCCCCTTTCCCGCCCCGCCCTCAGCTTCCCAAAGCGCATCAGTTCCAAAAGAGGGGAAGGAAAGTGGAGGCGCCGCCTTCCTCCAGCGCGGGGCGTGTAAATAGCCGCTGGAACAGCACCCAACAGGCTCGCTTGAGCGCCAGGAAGGAGGCACGTGCGGTGGCAGCGGCAGCAGCTCTACTGCCGGGAGAAACGCGTGAATGGAGTCACACGTTGCGCGTGTTAGAAAGAGGGTGGAAATGGAATCGGCGCTCATGCTGGTAAAAAAGATGCCGAAATCTAACAGGTGGGAACCTCGCCAACGCAAATTGCTTCTTCTCTACTCCCTCATCCCATGCGTCATTCCTAGGAACCCAAAATGAACTAACAAAATTAAAAGAATAACAAGAGTTGCAAGGACCTTGGAGGTCTTCTAGTTCAACCCCATGTTATGGAAGGAGACCCTATACCATTTCAGACAAATGGTTGTCCAATCTCTTCTTAAAACATCCATCAATGGAGCATGCACAATTTCTGGAAGCAAGCAGTTCCAACTTTGAGGAAATTTCTCTTTATTTCTAGGTTGCTTCTCTCCTTGATTAGTTTCCATCCATTATTTCTTGTCCTGCCTTCAGGTATTTTGGAGTGTAGGTTGACACCCCCCCCCTTCCTTGTGGCAGCCCATCAAATATTGGAAGACTGTTATCATGTCACCTCAGTCCTTCTTTTTATTAGATTAAACACACCCAATTCCTACCTTTAGTCATATGTTTTAGCCTCTAATCCTCTTTGTTACTGTTCTCTGCACTCTTTCTAGAGTCTCAACATATTTTTTTTATATAGTGGAGACCAAAACTGGATGAAATATTCCAAGTTTGGTCTTATCAAGGCAATGTAAAGCGATACTAACACTTCACATGATCTTGATTCTATTCCTCTGTAGTGCAGCCTAGGACTGAATTATTTTTTTGGGGTGGCTGCAGCACACTATTGTCTCATATTTAAGTGATTGTCCAGAAGGACTCTTCTTCGATCCTTCTCACAACTACTACTATTGAGCCGGATACCACCTATTCTATACCTATGCATTTGGTTTTCCTTGCCTAAATGTTAAACCTTACTTTCCTCACCATTGAATTTCATTTTGTTAGATAGTGCCCAATGTTCAAGTCTGTTGAGAGCCTCCTGGATTTGAGCCTATCTTATGATTGACTATTGACTATTCCTGCCATCTTGATGTTATCTGCAAATTTGATAAGTTCCCCTACTATCCCTTCATCTTAATCATTTATGAAGCTACTGAAGTATACTGGGCCTAAGACAGAACCCTGTGGTATCCCACTGCATACTTCCCTGCATGTAGATGCTGTTCCGTTAAGGACTATATGTTGAGTACAGTTAGTTAGCAAATATACTAATCTGTCTGGTGGTACTGCTGTCCATCTTTGTATGCATATTTGAGAATACAGAATGCTGCTATATAGGTTTAAGAAATGCTGAATTGGGAAAATTCATTTAAAAATACTATTTAAATAATTACTTCCCAAAAACTATTAAGTTCCTCAAGTAAGCTAGCTGTATCAAAGGATTACAATATGCTTGTAGAGACTGCTGCCATCACATGGTGATATGGTTATTTTACTTAGAATGCCTTTGTCTAATGGAAAAATTTATCATCTGAAAGCATTCTTGGTAATACTCCCAGAGCGCTTCAGTTATTGGACAGATTATATGTATATTTGTTTGGGTAGATTAATACCTGCATGTAGAATGTAGATATATTTACAGGTAAAAATTTTCTGCATATTACTTCGATTTTGATTTAAATTTAAATGCTTTGATGCATTCTAGACTGACATTACCTATTTAACCAAAAGCCTTTTACTGTAAACTGGGGAATTTTAACTGGAATTCTGCACTTATAGGGCTATAGAAAGTTTTATGTGTGTTCCAATACGTTCCATAAAAATGGATCTGCCACGATTGTGTGCATATGGAAGAGACCATCTACAATACATGAAAACGTATTTTAAAACAATACTCTTTTAATTCTGCAAAATTACTTGTTACATTTCTAACTTAAAATGCTTTAAATGATTTATTTTATTTATATTCTGCGTTATTTATTTATAAGCATCTATTTGGAGTGAAGTATCATCAATAAACCACATGATAAACAATGGAATAGCAATAGGACTTAGACTTATATACTGCTTCACAGTGCTTTACAGCCTTCTCTAAACTGCTTAGAATCAGCCAATGTTCCCTCTAATTTTTTTTCAGTGTGAGCGGAAAAGTATAGTGTGTGAGCTGCACAGTTTCATGCC